AGTGTTGAATTGAAAGATGTCATAATGTCAAAATATTGATTAATTATGTACATGATAGGGTAGTATAAATGATTGAGCTAATCAAGATTGATAATAATCTCAATCCTATTGATGCTTTTATCAAATTAATTTTAAAAAAATAAAAATTCAAGACATTATGCCACATTGCAAATTTTCCACAAGCACAGCAGAATCAAACCATACTATATTTTTATATGATTATATATATACTACTTTTACTACTACTCAATTTTATTTAACTTTAATTTACAGAGAAACTTACATTAGATTTTCATCTAAAACTTTATACAGAATATGATTCAAGGGAAAGATTTTTAGGATTTTAACTAGGTTTTGATTAAATTTGGCTAACTTAATCATGATAAGAGAGCTAATTGCAGCTATTATGTTCACAATTAGAATATATTTTAATCTTGTGGATTTAACTTAACAAGATGATCCACATTCTTTTAGTGTCAGATATGAGTGTTTGTTTGTGAAGGAGTTGACTGTGTTACATTTACATTTTTGGTAATTTTATTATGGTTTTATCGAAATATCTCCTATTAATAGATTTCACTTCACACAACATTTTATGGAAATGAGTAAATCTACATACAATGAACTTACTCTTATAAAGAATAGAAACTAGTTTGTAAAAGCTTTGCACAACTAGTAGGCGCAATTAATAGTTCAGTCTATTTGTAGATGATTCAATGATGGAAGGAAAAATAACTTGTTGCAAGATGAATATAAAAGAAGATGACAATACTCTATCAATCGAAACAAGTAATCAAATGATCAAGAGACCAAAAGCTAGATTCCGCTAGTATCACAATGAGATGTATGTTTCACATCCTCCATATTATAACTTATATCAAGATCAAACAATATAGAAATAACATCAGTATATATTGTCATCATCTAAGATGATTTTCTATTATGTATAGAGCTAGGTAGTGCGCTTTGTAAATAGAAAAAACACGTAATTTAATATTAATTACACGATAAGCTAGAGAAATAATGATAGTTTAATAAGCTCTTTCGCAAATAACAAATATGTCAAATAATGCGTCTATCATTTCATATTAATAATAATAAAATATGAAGAGAACAAAACTCTAACTCTTTGCATATTTTGAAATTCTGATTGATGCCGCCACTCTCCAAAGATGAATTATGAAACCCGTAAACTTTTCGTCATTGATTGATAACCAATACAACTGCAACAGTAATTTAAATTTCTCAAACCAAATACATACATATGACCTGACCCAATAGAATGCAACACATACATCAATTTTTTCATGTGAGGTATGCAGGTTCACGCCATCATTGACATTAAATCTCTAACTATTTAATGCATTATTTTCTTATATATTTCAAACAAATATAGCAAGCTAAGTAAAACACTGATGTATCTAGAATAATGTCATACTGAAAGAGAAAGCAAAGCCTGCTGAATTAGTCTATTTATTACAATAGATCATTCATATATATATATATATATATATATATATATAGTTAGTTAGTTAGTTAGTTTCGTGTGTGATGAAGTGAGACAAAGATGAAAACTTACGTTGTAACTTAAGCGCTAAAGCGTCTATTCGATAACGTAAAACTATTTATAAGGGTTAAATTTCTATTTTCAGGATTTGTAAGTAAATTTCAAGATAAGGATTATCTACAATCACAAAATTATAAGAAAGGTATATAGAATGACATTCTGGTAAAAAATGCTAAACGCTTTGTCCTCTCCATCGAAAATGAATCTATCGCTCCGCATTAAATCAGAGAAGATGTCTTCTTTTGTGTCAAATCTTTAGCCACACATTGATAAATCCTTGTTATGATGATCCTTAAATCGAGCAGTTCACTCTGAACACATTGACTTTCGAGCATAAAAGATGAAATTTGATAATCATATAATCACAAGCATGTAAAATCAGATTAATCGGCTGCATAGTGTGTGTGTAATTTTTCAAAGATGGAAACACAAATCCAGGCCTGACTAGAATAATATACATTATAGCTTCATAATGAGCCATTTGAAATAAAGATATTACCAAATTATCTTCGTGTCAAGTACTAACAGGTGCTTGTATGAGTGTTATTTCATCTTGGGAAAAAACATGGTAATATAGGAGAAAAATGTGAACATTACAAAGATAATATAAAAAGATTGAGACTCTACGAGATCCAACAGCTTCTTTTGGCTAGATCAACCCCGACCGTATGCCCATCTGACCGTGAAGAACTCACCCGCCGATCATGCACACTCTAGAAGCCGTCTTATTTGAGATTGTTAAAATACATATTCGTGAAATCCTATAACAGGCGTTACCAATTTACACATCCATCTGTGAGAAACGAAATTGACATGTAGCACCTAATTAACTTACAATAAGATATTTCCTTCTTCTAATTGATGTAGCCATTTGAAACAACTTTGTGACAATATAAGGATGATCATGTCCTGAAGCAATCTCTAAGGTGCTTGTATTACATCCCTAACGTACCGTTGGAGGATAGACATGAGAAATACTTCCAGACGTCAGCTTTTTGTTTGGCTTCCTCTGTCATGTATTCATTTAATATAAGATGATTGCATTGTTCATTTTGTAAATTTTATTCTAGTATGTTTTCAGCTTCGAAAATTACGTTTTTTTTACATTTAAATTAAAAAGGGAGTATAGCAAATTTGCGGAAAATTTTGTCAAATTTGAAACGAGGGGATGAGATGAATTTAGATTATTGCTCATTCATGGTAATGATATTCATACATACGTAGTATGTGTAACCTTTACCAAACTCAATATAGATTCGTGATAACCTCGATAGGAATGTGAAGTATACCAATAGTAGGTGAAGACTATACTTTATCTCAACTGCTGTATCAAATAGTACATTCAGAATAAAATCATATGTGCTGAACCTCTACACTCAACATGCAGAACTAGTCATATGTGGACCTTAATGTCGTAAGGATATTCCGAAAGAATTATCTCGAGATTAGCATGCTTCCAGTATGGAGGGGTTTTCTTAGGAGGAGGCTCAACAAAGAGCATAGACTTATGAACTGGTAGGAACTAAGAAAAGAGACTGTTATGAGAGTATGGGGGCACGTGGGTATTGATGTAGAGTATCAAGCTATCCGAAGAAACAGTGGGCATTTTATGGACGAAAACTCTAATTATACTTCATGTTTTCCCTGCAGGAGTGGAAGAGACTCGAGAAAAACAGCTTCAAGTTGTCCACCGTATTCTCATAGACTGTATCAGGGACAATGATCGCTAGTAGTTTCCATCAAGTTCAAGCAGAGAAATAAAGTAGGTCCAGTGAATGAAATCCAGAGGAAATGACATATATACTAGCACACATGCACGTACTTTTCACTCAATATCATGATCATCTTAGCCCACAGTAGGTGACCGACCTAAAGGCTGAACTGTCTCCATGGGCTGGGCGTATGACTACAATACATGTTTGGAAGCAAGTATTGATACGACAATGCAAAGTTGAAGTGGTTGGCCGTCGTTCCATAATGGCACGTGATGGATACAGTAAACGACATGCCATGGTGCAAATCTTAACAACTCTCACTACAGTGAACAGAAGATTTTCGAAATGATATAACTGAAAGATAGTTTGGAGTGAACTGGTTCATCGAGAATACTATACTTTTCTTTGTGAAAGGAAAGGTTTCATGAACTCCTTTCATCAAAGCATCAACATTACACCAGTGGTTCTGACGATGCTCATATAGAATGGTGGAAGGATAGGTGAAGATGAGCACTCCGGGATTTAACAACGGAAGCTCGTCGACGCAAACGAGGTCCGAGACTTCGAGCTGGGATGGATTTGACAATGGTGAAACTTTTGGAGTACCTTCACTTACCTTCAAGGACGGAGTTGCAGCAAAATTAAAATGGTTTCACGTCCCTAAGAGTAAACATTTTGCTCTGCGGACCATCTGTGTTCCGGACGTATCTCTTGAGCTGGGCAACCTAAGGTGGTAGGATAGAATATTCCAACCTGGTCCGGGCCGTCTACAGTTGTCTGTGTACAGCAATGTGAAAAGTAGTGCAAATGTTTCCTACTACTGTAGAAGTGTGAGAGGTGTGTCCTGAGTTCTAAAATGGGGTGAATGATGGGCCACAACAGAAATGTCTGGTGTCCTAGAGTGGACGAAGGACGAATCGTCCACTCTAGGACTCCAGACGTCGTGTCTGATTTGCTCAAACAGCTTACGATGACTTCTGCATCATTCAAATTTATTGGCCATTGCCACCTCATGGCCAATGACCTGACCGACCTGCAAAAACAGTGCTCTGTGACCAGTGAGGCACTTTTAGAACAGTAGCTTACAGCGATGGACCTGCAATTGCATTCACGCCATCCTCGTTGAGGCCTTGATTCAATTGTCTTACGGTACGGTAAGGCTGTACACAGTGCAGTGTTTTCTCCCCTACCCTACGCCGATCCTGCTCATCCCTCGGGACTGATCGCAGAACCACCCGCACTAGCTCGTTAAATCTTCTTGGGTCATTTTGATGGAATCTGCACACAACTGCCTCTGAAGTTCCCAGTGCTTTCCACGATGATGTGCCCACTCCCCAAATGGCCTTGCGAAGAGTTCTTGGCACCCTAGAACACTACGCAGGTCAGATCAGCTGTGGCGTGTGAAATTAGTACTGCTTGCCTTCGCTGGTGACTGCTACCCATTCTGTGACTTTGATGAAATCATTATCTGATGGTCGGATGAGGTTGGAGGTTGCCCACAGCATCTCACTGTCATCTGCCAATAGGCTGAGGCTTTTTCATTCCCACTATCTGACAGTGACATTTCTGTACTCCGGTGAAGATACATAAGTGTTACTTTTCTTGACTTTTGGGTACAGGTGGTCAGCTCCAATCCTTGGGAAAAAGAAAATTCATGCGCTCTCCAGGCCATACAACGCAATGTCCGACAAGACAAGTATGTGAACAGAGAAAGGTAAAATACATGAATTACCAAGTGCGACTCAATTCATAATAAGAATGTACAGGTGTTGGTACAGCGACCACTTGAGAAGCTGCCTCTCGGTGTCAGAATATTTCCGACTTTAACTAAATTACAGTCCTACATTGTGACGATTGACACCAGCACAAAGGGAAAATCAGAAACTCGATTCCTTACAGACACTACGCAGCTGTCAAAATATTTCCACAGCACAAAGTTCTACCAAGATATATCCACATGTATGTGCTGGAGTCCCCAAAACGGAACTCTGTAGATAGCGTAGTTTTCTGTGCTATCAAAGTATGTTCTAGAACCAATATTAGAGAACGGATGCATGACGAAGGCTCCGCTTCCTTCAGCATTTTCGTGAGGGCTGAGTATCAAGTACGGTAGAGAAAATTGTTCGTCGCGGAGAAATTTGTTCCGTGTCAAAAACCTTGGAGGAACCAGGCAGCTAATCCGCCGCGCGGCACCTCAAGCTCGAATATCAAAATTCGGATACTTGACACAGGTTGCTGGAAACGCCTTGGCACCTTGGCGGCAACGGATGCGACAACCGATCCACTGTCGTCAGAACTGATCAACCCGAAGCAAAACCGCATCTCGTAAAGTTGTAGATGTACTCGATAAATTCTTGATGGGACTACGCGCCGTACAGTTGGGAAGTAACCTGATGATGGCGAAAGACAAGCGTTCCATTGTACGGATCAGAAGCGCATGCTGTGTCTACCGCAATGTGAGGTTTGTGATTTACGAAGACAAGAAGACATAAGCAGAAGCACTATGGCTCAAAGCAGTCGCGTGTCGGAAGCAGCAGACTTCTTGATAAATTCGATGCACTCCGCAATGGCGTCGGACGAATACGAAACTCCTTGGTATTGGTACAAAGGGGTCACGGCTGCAGGGTCCGGCTTCTTGTGAGAAAGCACCAGTCGCATATAAGAGTCACGCATCTTATCGAAAAGACGCACAGGTGAGATGATTCGAATTCGCACTCGCGGCAAGACAAGGCGACATCTCATGAGTCGCGTTCCGAATCTTCCCTTCCTGCCGTGCCTCCTCTCAGGCATGTTGGCTAAATTTGAAAAGATCGGGCACTCGTCGTGATAGTAAGTGTCACTTGGTCGCTGGTCCAGTGGCTCGAGCAACATAGCTTTACCGTCAGTTCCACCCGGGTGAGCGAACTTGCGCCTCTTCAACATCAGAGTGCAGGAACTTGTCGCGCCAGTACCACCCAAGCGAAATCGCCCCGAGTGATGAGAATGCAGTAGAATCGAGCTCCTGCCAGACAATGCAAAGAAGAGACAGGCGCCTTACTTTCCGCAGCTTCGCAGGCTGAGCAGAATTGCCGACGTGATCTTTTCTGCACAGCCACAACCGTATTGCCTTCATTCACCACCTATTCATCCTGGAACACTCATCCCCTCCAGCTCCGTGGACATCCCGGAGGAGCACGAGAATGAGCTGTGCAATCAACACGTGATCACATTATCAGAATCACAACCCTTCCATAGCTGGCCGATTTGACAGAGGAGCTTGAGCTGAGCACGAGTCCTCTTCCCTCATCAAACTGCGGAAAATGCACAGAGGATTTCTCCCCTCACAACAAGCACGCTGCGCTTGCCTGAAGGCTTGCCCGCTGGCCCGTCCCTGTTGCAATATTCCCTGAAGTCAACTACAAGATCAACAACCCGCACTGCTCGCTGCTCTCTCCCGCACGACGCTCGCTCTCTCTTGTTCATATATCGATCACTGTAGTCCCGCAAACCACTCCATCTCACCCTTGCTCCAACACGGCAAATTCTCAAGGCCTTCCCTCCTTCCTCCACTACTTCTTGTGCCGTGAACAGTCGCACATTCTACTCTCCACCCTGATCTTCAACGGAGCTCGAGGCGCCTGCGGGTGCAGCAACATTCCGGGTCCCTCCCTCCTCTTATGCGCCTACTCACTCTTCTAACGTTCGCTTCCTCACTACAAGTCCAGATGAGAGTCGAGTCGTGAGGCTTCGGCTCTTTACTCGCGACTTGAGGTGGGCCGAAGGCCTGACTCCCAATGCTCGGCTCACTTGCGTTCTAGTCCCTACACGCGCCAGCTCCAAAATTGCAGCCTTGTTGTTGTGTCCAAAAGAACCAAGTGACCGTCGGATTGCTTTTTGTCACTGCCATCTGGCTGTCACTGCCTTCCACCCAAGCTGCGCAAGAAAAACCCCAAGCCAATGGCAGGGCGTAGAGTGCCTGTACTGTACTTCAGCTTATCACGCTTCGCTCCCCGCAGTGCTTTTGCTCTCCGGTTCCCTTGACGCTTGAGGTGCATTTCGGGCTTTACGTGGTCAAGATTCCGGACTCATTCCGTAATTAAGATAATTTCGATCTATTACATTTGGACAAGTCCTCTCTGCATTCATTGCATTAATTCCAGCGTGTAATCTTCTGTCTCGAACGACGTAGAGAATGATGTTGTATTGCGTTCCCTCCAGATTCGTTGGCACTATCACTGCTTAGTCAGACACCGCTAAGATAGTGACGTTACGGCTTTCACACTAGCCGATCTCGAGACCTGTGCAAGAGAGGGTCAGAAGTCGTGTCTTGCGGTATCTCAGCTGACGTGGATTTGATTGCCACCTTAGGTGAAAAGTCTTACAGCTATTTTAGGGAAGGATATGATTGTCATCATTGTTCGCCTGAAATCGCCAAGGCGTCCGTCCACTAACTTGTCTCTCTATGTCCGTAGACTATACCTCAATTCTACAAGTGGCGGTTTTTAAGGGAGAGGTACGTTCATCACTTTCTACCGAGTCAACTCTTACTGGCGGGGCTCAAGCCAGGTCAAGTTTAACGGATCTAGCTAACGGGAATTCTCATCTTCGTTGAGTTTAATCATCACCAGGTCGTGGACAAGTGACCCAGGTTGATTACAAGCATTGAAGGACTAAAAGACAAGAGATGCGGAAAGAAATTATTTTCTTCTTCAGTTGCAGACATGGACAACGATCTCGAACACCAGTAAATTCTTTCAGCTACTTATGAGAATCACAAAATACATCCCTACGTGTAGACGGGTGGAGACCGACAAAGTTTTTACTCGATACATTACAACCGTGTTGACTCATCATATACTTCATGATACATCAATCCATCGATACAGAACACATCAATCCACTCTAAGTCCTGCTTATCCTGTGGTTGGCACGGTGTATAACATGGAAAGACTTCTCATTTTCCAAGTTTGCCTCCACAACGCGTACTAAACAGACTTGAGAGGTGATCGATGGTAGTAAACTGGAAAATGATGAGAAGAATAACGCTGGATCTAAATGAAATAAACTTTTCTGATAATTTTTACAAACCTAGTAGATAGTTGTGATATCAAAATCAAATTTAATATATTTTGTAGTGTACAAAAAATTTCATTTGTATTGTAACATCTATTAAGTTTCTTAGATTTGATAAAGCTAAAAAACCTTGCTTGATGTAGATTACCTAACAAACTCACCAACAAATTAAGATTTTTTTTGACATCACATTTTGACTTCCTGTAACTCAATGGTCAATTGATGGTGTTGAGAGGTAAAAAAAATAAAATTGTCAGTTTTCTATGACAAAAATATGTAGTTCACTAAACTTGATATTTCTCCAGCTATGAACAAGATGACTAGGTACATATCAAATCTTGATAAGTTGCATTTTAAAGTTATGATGTGAATTTCGAGTATCCAAAAAGTCACAAGTACATGTTACTTTTTGATATACAATTTTAAACAATGTCAAATCCTTGCTATTTTATATTGACTCTGTAAAAGAATTAAACAAGAAAAAAAACATAACATCGTTCGTGTTTACAATTGAAAATTTATGCATTAATTGGGGATATTTTTTGCAAAATGCATAGTTCAGTCAACCACGTAAGCTAATGTGACATTCAAAACATTTAAATAATCTATTTGATTAGTTCGACTTATAACTTTGATATCAAGATTGTATCAAGATGTTATCAATACTTATTGCAATAATCAAAATATACTAGATTTTTTGCAAATTGAATGATGAATAGCGAGGTAAATCACATCAACGTTGTATAAGTTATTTATTAAAAATGAAATTTTAAATTAAAAATAGATTTAATAACTGACAAATTAATCCAAAGAAATATTTTAGAAATTATTTTGTTATTTTGCAAGTTGAGAATAAAAGTCATTAGTAGTATATTAGCAATTTTTTTACAGATGGTGTTTTTATTCTGTTTCTGCCATTATTTAATTTTAGTTAAATCTAGTTTTAAAAAATGTGTGAGTTTTTATCTAAGATTTTATGTAGAGTTATCATACACATTATAGTGGTTACAAAACTAAAAACATGAGTATAAAAAATCAGCGGTAAACTTAGATATCTTAAACTTAGATATATATCTAAATCAGCGGTAAACTTAGACAAATTACTAGGACTGTTCGACAAAGGTGTAAACATCTAATAAACATGAAACACATCTTAGTGTAACCCTAGGACGTTGGACTAGTATTAACTTGTTACTGTATAAGAGAGTTGATTATACCTCTCAATCAGACGTACTTGTAAAATACTTGTGAGTTCATGAACATAGAATGTTCACTAATATAAATCTCACAACTTTTTGTTCGCCTGATAATTTTCAGTTTTTTTATGTATAAGACCTAACAATGCATACATTTATTACAATACTCCCAGATTTTCCATTTAAAACTTTATATAATTTAAAAGTAAAAGTAAAAAATAAGTTTCTTTGTACCTATTCTATTTTTTCATTCCACTTGCCTTTGTGTGTAATAAAGATATGAAAATTTTATTATTGTCATGACTGAAATTTTATGAATAAGGTGAATTTTTTTGCTAAAAGATCAAAATTCATCTCTTGTTCCAACATTATGCTTCATCACATATGTAATCACAATCATTATGTAGGTTGGAATAAATTGCATGCTTTGAATCAGATATGAGTATTTTTCTAAATAACATATACATTAATTTATATCAGTATTTTTATCTAAATATTTAAAATCTTGTACAATTTCAACATTAACTTAAAATTTGTCACAAATAGGATTTAGGGTTTAGCATTTACTTAATCTACTTTTTCATTCCACTTGATATTGTGTGTAATTAAGACGATTCTTTAAAAAAAGATTATTATTGTCATGAATGAATTTTTATGGATAAGTTGAGTTTTTTTGCTAAAATATCAAAATTCATCTCTGACACCAACATGTTTTCTATCATATATGTAATCACAAATCATTATATAGGCTAGAATAATGTGCATGCTCTGAATAAGATATGAGCATTGTTTTAATGAAATATACATTGATGTATCAATATTTTTACTCTAATGTTTTTAAATTCTTATAAAAAATCAGGCATTAACTTCAATATGTCACAAATAGTAACGCAATATCAAAACCTACGAGTGTGATGAAAGTAATAAATTATCATAAAAACCCATAAATTATCATTATGGGTTTATAATAAAAACCCAAGAAATAAAATTTATAAAAGATTGGAGAAATTTTACATTGCATTTTAAAATAATTTGAATCAAATGATTTATACGTCATAATATATAATATTTATATTATATTTTTCCAAGACAAATTGTCAAGCAAATCCATCTTCTCAACATCAAACTCCTGACCCACATTGAAAATTTGTCTTTTTGTTTAAAGATGAATCCTTATACATAAATATGTTCTCGATCTAAAACTTTCATCATCTTTAATTAACGTGCAATTCTATATTTTGAAATATAAGGGATGTGAATTTAGCCTTTAATTTTACATTTAGGAGATAAAGAGTACGTTGAATGAAGTCACAGAAATGACAAGCAAGCTCAAAGAAGCTTTGGTGGAGAAAGCATAGGAATTGTTGGCTTGGATTGGATGAAATCAATGTACAAGTAATCCCGTCTTTTTTTCTTTTTAAGATTTCTTTTAATACGGTAAAAAAAAAGTATGCAGTGTCCATTCTTAGGATAACCAAGAATTTATATTTCACTGGAACTGCGAACTTTGATAACTTTTATGAGTAATTTGATGAGTTGCTCCGCACTAGACTCAATAAATTTGAAATCAGAGGTCAAGAACTATATTGATTGACACTAATTTAAGTGAACAAGAAAGTTTTGGATCAAGAACCTATCTCGGAATTTTTCCAGGAGAGTTCAACATTGGATGCCCATGTCCGAACCCACCCATGACCATGAGTTTTGGATGGATTTTGGATGACATTATTTTCTATAGATCGGCATGAGTGAGCACAAGTAATGCTAAGGTTAGTGTTTGTCAAGATCTAATCAAAAATTGATGTAACATGTTAATGCACATAACACAATTGGCATGGATGAGCACATGCAATGCTATGATGTGCATCAGGTCGATACTAATGGTGATGGTCCAATCTGGTGTAAATTTCAAGTAAAATGTTGGTCTCTGCTTTGAAATCTTCAAAGAGAAACGAGTACATTTGAAAAAATAGCTAGAACATTGGCCATAAATAGAAAAGAATTTGAAATCAAACTACAGTAGTAGAATGCAAAGGCTCCGGCCTTTACTTTTGCATGATCAGCACTTGTACCCACTTCATTAATGAAATTTGACCATGTTTGCGCGGAGATGTTGATTTTGATTTTCTCAATGGTGCTTGATAAATCATTGTTCAGCTTAGTTTCAAATGCATTGTCATCCTTGGCAGCATATGTCAATGCTGACGGACATTTTGATGAATGAAATTCCTGTTTTGAGTACCTCAAGGTGTCTCGCTCACAACTATGGACTAGCCGAACTTCGGAAGAAGTTTTTTTTTATATTACAAAGAGCTGCAATGATTTTTTTTAACCTAGAAACAAAGCAGTTACATGAAATTATAAGAACTCATTTGGGAACATGGGCGACGGTGGAGTGAAGTGCGTTGGAGGGGTTCTATAAATGTAGCTTTTTGGATCCCAACAAGACTTTTGCTAGAGTTCATCAAGTAATTTTTTCCATAGAAGTAGATTGAGAAGCTCAAGATAGAGTTTTGTGTTGCTTAGGATTAGTTGTTCAAGT